ATCTTTGGGCAATCCTCCAGGAGGCTTGGAGTAATATATCAAGTCAATGTTTGAATAAACTGACTGCTCGGATGCCTAGTGTTATCCCTTATTATCAATGCAAAATGGTCACTAACTAAAGAGGATTTATGCTGATATTGCCCAAAAACCCTATTTTGTTCAGGCGTTTCCAAACTTTTGGAGGGCAGTGTATATATATATCTGATACATATATATATATATATATAGGGCTAGAGATAGAGAGAGAGACTGTTTATAGTGGCTATAATGTACAATCACTTAACAGACATTCACCTTTAATTTGTGGGTATTTACATCCAAATCACGTGAATAGTGTACGAATTAGAGCACTTTTTATGTAGTCCTCCCCTTTTTAAGGGACCAGAAGTAATTGGACAAATTAACAATCGTAAATTAAGTTTTGATTTTTAATAGTTAGTTACAAATACTTTGCAGTCAATGAATGCCTGAAGTCTGTAACCAATAGACATGCTCTACAAGGCTCTTCACATGCATTGAACATTGCATATCTTGTCTTTGTGGTGTTTTCAATTGAATATGGATCAACTAGGATTTGCAGGTCATTGTATTCTGTTTTTATTTACCCAAACCATAGTTTTACAACGTCCCAACTTCACTGGAGTTGGGGTTTGTAGAAGTCATAAAGTAAAAATCTATAACAAAGTTTGTACTTAAAAAAAGAAATAGGGTGCCTAAGACTTTTGCACAGAGAGAGAGAGAGAAAGATAGATATCAGATCAATGACTATAGGTTTTACTTTGTTAAACAACACATTTTTAAAAATCTGTTTTTTTATAATATTATAATTATAATATGCATCATGTCCCAAAAGTCTCCATACATAGGGGACTATGTATGCCAGCACCACACTGGTTGTGCCATCATCAGTAGATGGTCATGGACGTCCACGCCTCGGTTTGTCCGCAACACTTCCAGTCTTTTTGAATTTGTTAATAGGTTTGGCAACAGTGTTGTGTGTGATTGCCACGTTTCCTTTTAAGGTCCGTCTCAACCTTGTGACAGCTTCCCAATCCAGCCATGAAAATGATTTCAATACGTTCTTCTTTTGTCAAAGGCATTCTTAAAGGCTATCAGAAAAAAATATATATAAACTAAGGATGAAAAATTTTGGAAGACATTTTTCTAAAACACGTTAATTTCCCCTATCTATGGAGACTTTTGGGACACCCTGTATATTATTATAGTTTTAGATTATGTGGAGTGTCTGCTGTACAGGTCTCTGTGTATGAACTGTTAATATTGAAACAAAAAAGTATTAGAATGATCACATTAATATTAAGCTATCGTTTAAGTTACAGTCGGAACTTACCAAGCCATGCTGTTATACAAAAACAATGTATACCTTCTGACCAATCAGATTCAAGCATTCAACCACACTGCGGTATAAAAAAAAAGATACACCACAGTGCGGTTGAATGCTCGAATCTGATTGGTCAGAAGGTGTGCATTATTTTCATATAACTGCACAGGACGTTTCGGCTGTAACATGAACGACAGGTTAAAATTAATGTTCTAATACATTTTTGTTTCTCTAGTAACAGCTTACACAGGGACTTGGTACACGCTCCAAATAATGTGTGCACACGTGTGTGCATGTTTTGGAGCCTTCGTGAAGGGAAAAAAAGGACCAAATCTCCTCATAATAATGAAAGAGCCAAAAGATTTCCATTTGGTTACTAAGGTTAATGTTAAGGTTAGTACAGATTTAATGGGTGGACGAGATCTGTGAGGGTTGAGCAAAGATGAAACCACCTCGCGTACTTTCTGTGGTTTAGTTTTGTCTGTTGTGTATTAATGCACCAGTCACAAGCTTTGTCACATGGCATGGAAGCCATGACCAACATGACATCATCTCTGCATGAAGTATGATGAGGCCTTTATAGTTAGGTTTAGATTAGATTAGATTTAACTTTGTTGTCAATATGCAGGGTACAAATACAAAGCCAATGAAATGCAGTTATCGTCTAATGAGAAGTGCAAATAGCAAGGTAGCATTGAGTGGTATAGTTCAAAGTTCAAAAGTTCAAAGTGGAGTTTATTGTCATTTCAGCCATCTACAAATACAGTATAGTGCAAGTAATAGACAAATGAGGTAAGATGGCAGTAAAGTGTTGTGTGGGCATGACATTAAAATGCGCAGCATGTCATTCATTAATAAATGAAACATTGTAATCACTGGCAAACCACTGTGGTATAA